ATTAAAAGTGTGCCAAAAGCAACCCACTACAGTTATACAACATCTGCAAGAGTTATTTTAGTCAAAGTGTGTTAAAGCAACTATTTCATAAAGCAGCATCCAGGATCTCCAAATATATAATCCCAAAGCTTGTTAGCCTTGCAATGTAATACAGACAAGAAACTATCAAAAGTATTAGCTCTGCCTTTAAAAGTGGCTCCACAAAGGGAAATTTCACAAAGCTTAGCAGCAAATAGCCACTAAAATGCTTGAAATGATGTAGACTGGACTCATAAAATCCCGAGTCAACTGAACCATGAGATGGGCAGCAAATAAATTTGATAAATAAAATATAATAAAAATGAAGATGTGCAAATGGAAGCCAGGATTTAGAAGGAAGGAGTAAATAGGGAAAACAGCCTCAATGGTGAAGGGGGAGGCAGGAACACAGAGATCCTGTTTGGTCTAGTGGTTATAGTATGAGATTAGAAAACAGGAAACCGTGAGTTCAAGTCTTGTCTTAGCCGTGAAAACCAGCTGGGTGACTTTGGGCCAGTCCCCCCCCCCCTCTCTCTTAGCCCAGTCCACCTCACAGAGTTGTTGTTGTGAGGAAAATAGGAAGAAGATTTGTTGGATATGTTTGCCATCTTGAGTTACTTGTAAAAATAATAAAGGCTGGAAATAAATAAGAAGTAGGTAATCCCGTTGCTTCAATATTTCATCAGTATAATTTTCTTTTCCTTATCCTAGATTGAACTGATAGAAAATATCACGCGCTTTAAGCAGTTCATAACATAAGTTAGTAACCTAGTTGTTAAGTGAATCTGGCTTCCCTGTGGATTTTGCTTGTCAGAAGGTCACAAAAGTGGATCACATGATCTTGGGGCATAGCAGCGATCGTAATTTGGAACCATTTGGATCACTTCATCATGGAGGGCGCTACAAAGATCGTAAGTGTGAAAAACGGCCGTAAGTTACATTTTTCAGTACTGTTGTAACTTTGAACAATCACTAAACGAACTGTTGTAAGTCAAGGACTACCTGTACTCCCCAGGTAGGTCAATTATAAACTCAAATAGTTGCTAAATGACTGGTCATAATTTGAGGACTACCTGTGCACAGCTTTTTCTTTCTTCTGCCTCATCCTCTTCCCTCCTGCCCTCTAAGTAACACCAGGACTGACAGAAGGTTCTGGGGGACTAAGAAGAGGCACATGCTTCAATGTCATTTTGGTGGCCTCCATGTAGATTTTGTCCACTTATGGACTATTTATATTGCCCAATGGACCAAAACTGCTGTGCTTATTCACATTAATGCATTAGAAGCAAACATAATGAGACGAATAAATGCAACAGAAGCCGAAAGCTACTGATGGAGAAAGAGGTTGCTGTGGAAAGGTCAAGGGCCTTTTTCTCCATTGAGAATGTTTTTATCCAAGAATAGTATTTCTCAACCTCGGCAACTTTAAGATACATGGACTTCGACTCCCAGAATTCCCCAGACAGCCAAGTCCATCTATCTTAAAATTGCCAAGATTGAGACACTCTCCCCAAGACTCTTTTAATGGCTAAATGGCCATCAACACCATGTACCTCTGCAGAGCGAGGTGTGGTTTGGTACGAGAAACTAGAACAATCTCTGGGGATGAACATAATGCAGGTGGCCTTCTTGGACAAGGGGTGGAGGGAAGCTCCATGAGATTCAGGGAGACAGAAAGAAGATAAACTGATTGGACTGGATTCATTTATCTATCTCAGAAAGAGTTTTAAAGAGAAATGCAGCTTTTGTCTTGAGAATTTATCTGTGGGAAAAGAAATAGACAGGATATGGATTCCAAATATATGAGCCAAATGTCCCATTGATGTTAAGCATCCAGGGAGAAGGTAGGATGGGAAACACTTGGATATTTATCATTGTTATTCTTATGTTGCCATTTTTAACTCATCTTTCAGAGCAAAACCTCTTAAAAACAGACCATTCTTTAAAAATAAAAACCAAACCACAAAATTAAACACCTAAGTCAGGGGTGCCAAAGTGGACCAGATGCATCACATGCAGGCCACGCCCACCCCAGCTCCATGAAGGGAAAAACATCACGAAATGGCACATGACACGGCGAGTTTGACACCCATGATCTAAGTGATCAGCAGCAGAAGAAAGACAACTGCAACAAAGATCTTATTTGAATGTTTAATATAGCACAATGTTTCTCAACTGAGGCCATTTAAAGGTAGGTGGACCTCAATGCCCAGAATGCCATCACAACATTGCTTGCTCAGGTATTTTGAGGGTGGACATCCAAGTTTAAGGCTGGGAAACACTGATATAGTGTAACTAGCCAACTACAAGCTAAAAGAAAGAAGTTAGGAAAGAAAAAAATAGAAACTTTGTTCTGGGGGAGACAATTCAAAAGATTTGGGGATATTGGGGAGAAGGCTCCATGGGCTCTGATGGGCCAGACAGTAGAAACTTACAAACTGATCCCAAAGGTGAATTTTCAAAAGCCAACTGAATTTTCTTTGTTTGTCCTTGAAGATGTTTCGCTTCTCATCCAAGAAGCTTTTTCAGTTCAAAACTGAACTGAATGTTTCCAAGCCATCAGCAACATCAGCCTCAATAAAGCATGTAGGGTAATCAGATCCTGTTTAATGGAGGCAAAATCAGTTTTCTTTAGATCACAGTTGGTAAACAAGCCAACAGTGTTAAATGGTACACCCAACCACTGACACAATTGCGGTTTAACAAAATGCCACATCCATGACAACATCTCAACACCATCCCTCAGTCTTAAAGGCATGGTTATGCAACACATTCCCTCCAGGTATTTTTGAACACGGCTTCCAGCAGCTGTAGTGCTGGGAGATGCAGATCAACAACAGAGGCATTCAAGGAGAACGCAAATCACTCAGTTGTGCATTTCCAATCAGATTAACAGATTATTCTCACCTATAATGCACGGTTCTCATCTAGATGAAGTTTCAACTGCATTCCTTCATTCAAGCCAAAACTATCCCATGACACTTGACTTTCATGAAGGAAGGAAGCTAAAAGATGAAATATATAAAATGTCAAGAGATCTTCCCCAATACAAAGCAATGAGAATTCCAGATGATCTTTGCTGGAATGAAATGCTGTACAAGCATCAATCCTGCAGCACAAATTGCTTCAGGAGAGAAGGAATTGCTTGCAAGAGCTGCAGGGGGGAAGGACCTCCTCATTTGCAGAAGACTGCTTTCCTTTCTGGTCTTGACAATCAATTATTTTCTCTCTCAGGAACCCAGAGGGAAAAATCTCATGCTTGCTGGCTAGAAAGGACCTACACTGCAACACATCTTTGTGCTACTTTAAGTATACACCACTATATAAGAGCATCTAACTCAACTTTCTGACTCAATAAAAATGAATTGGAGTCAAAGGGGGGGACAAAATAAGATTTCAACATATAATCAACTGCCCAGAGTTACTGAAAGTTAGGTGGCATATACATTTAATATATTACTATTTCTAGACATTTTAATCTCTCCATATTGTTAAATACAGGTAGCCCTCAACATACAATAGTTCATTTAATGGCTGTCCAAAGTTATAACAACACCGAAAAAGTGACTTATGACCATTTTTCACATTTATGACCTTTGTAGCATCCCCATGATCATGCGATCAAAACTCAGATCTTTGGCAACTGGTTCATACTTTTGATGGTTGCTCTGTCCCAAGGTCATGTGAGCATTGCAACCTCCTGACAAGCAATGTCAATGGGGAAGCCAGATTCACTTAACAACCGTGTTAAACAAACTTATCAACTGCAATGATTCACTTAACAACTGTGGCAAGAAAAGTCGGAAAACAACTCACTTAACAAATGTCTTGTTTTGGGTTCAATTGTTGTCGTAAGTCAAGGACTACCTGTATTGCTTCTCATTTCACCAACTCGTTCCACTTCCATACAGATTATGTGACATATAATTACATTAAAAATGTGGGAACAATATGATCCTACTCACTTTAATTAACTAAACTTACGGAATCTACCATGTCACCTGTCTCCCAACAGGCTACATGTTGTAGCTCAAGTCCACAGAGCACATACATGACTCATCTGCGCACCTCACGGTGCATTCACACATTTCAAGCCATTTCTACTCCAGGATATGTTTTCTGTGGCAAACATACTGAGGAGAAAAATAACTAAAAGTAATGAAGCAGAAGGGACCAAAGAGGAACAAGAAAGCTGAGGAAAAAGACAAGTCATGCTCTCGCTCTCAGCCTAAACCAGGGTTGTTGTGGATAAAATAGGAGGAGGAGGAAGTGTATTAGGAGTGATTGCTGCCTTGCATTACTTATAAAGTAAAGAAGCAGAATAAAAATCAAATAAAACCTTATCAAGGAATGGAGGGAGAACCCTTTTGGCATTGTGTGCAAACTTACGACGCCCTCTCCCCTTATTCTGCTATGGCAGCTTTTCTTTACTGTTGTAACTGCATGTAATTATGTCATAATCAAATCACCGATAAGGCCAGGCCCATTGAAATAGAACTGTTACCGACATCTCTCGCTACAGCAAACAGAAAAACAACGGAGGATGCGGTCTAAAGAGCCCCGCCATAAACAAACTTATCAGAAAAAGCAATAAAGGGATAGATGCCCCTCTTAGCCAAGGGGGAGAAGATGGTCCAGAGGGGGCTCCAAACTGGGGTCGTTAGCTGAAAAAAAGGAGCAGGAAAGGGAAATCTGGGATCCAGAAAAGTCCGAATGGAGGGAGCAGCCCGAGCTCCCCCTGAGCTGCGTGGACGGAGCAGGCTTTGTCTTTGGGATCCCAGAGTCAGCAGCGGGGGGGGGGGGCGACGTGCATTGAATCCATGAATCCAAACAGGCGCTCAGAGGAGAGAAGACACCCTTCGAGCTTCCCACCTCCCTCCGCCTCTCCCGCGGGAGAAAACACTCTGCACGTGTTCAGAGAGCTGCCCCCGGGACCGCCCCAGGGAAGAGGTTTCCTGCCGGGCCCCTCCTCATTTCCTCACCATGATACAGATGGAGGCAAGTCTCCGGATGGTCATCAGTGTTGCCATTCACGCGGCGACCCGCAACCCGCCGTCGCCGCCATGTTGGCCCCCCGCCCGCCGCCCGAGGGAGCGCCGCCGCCGGAGCCGCGGCCGCCGCAGGTGGCGCCACCGAGAAAGCGCTCCGGGTAGAGGAGGAGGCGGAGGCGGCAGGGGGCGAGTCACTCGCTCTCGGCTCCGTCCTACCCGCGCAGCCTCGGGAAGAAAGTTCCGCCCACCCTCCGTTCCGCCGCCGCCCCTTTCGAACGCCACGAAGCTCCGCCCCTTTGTGACCTCCCGCGAAAGTGGGCGGGAACGCGGGGCGAGGCTTCGGTGCTTGGGCGGATGGAGGTTTCAAAAGGTCTGGGGGATCCTCGGAGGCTGCGGACGCCTCTCCCGCCCAGCCGGGTTTTGGAAAATTCCCGTCTCGCCCATACAGGAACAACAGGTAGTCCTCGACTTACGACCACAAAGTGTCCAAAATTTCCGTTAGCAAATGAAACAAGTCCATTGTTCAGTAAATTTTGCCCCATTTTACGACCATTCTTGTCACAGTTGTTAAATGGATCACTGCTGTTAAGTTAGTTCCGGGAACTGGGTTGTAAAAAGTGATTCTGGTCTTTCCAGACTCTGCTTGTCGGAGGTTCCCAAAAGGGGATTGTGTGAGCTTTGAAACACTGCGACTGTCACAAATATGAGACAGTTGCCAAGCATCTGGATTTCGATCACGTGACCATGGGGATGCTGTAACGGTCCTAACTCAGAAAAACGGTCATAAGCCACTTTTTTTCTGTGCTGTTGAAAATTCGAAGTCACCAAACGGAAGGTTATAAATTTTGGGTTACCTGCATTCTATAGGTTCCAGCAAACCAACATCCTGTAATGGGCAATGGGGTGTTTTCAACCTTGGCAACTTCCAGATGTACAGACTTTGGTTTCCATAATTTCCTGGCCAGCAGGCTTTCAGACGGATGGATTGCAAAGCCCAGAATTCCCTGGCCAGGATGCTACGGCATATATTTCAATATCATTAAAATTGCCAGGGTTGAGCCAAGGTGCTCCAGAAACCTGGGAAGGATGAACCTTGGAGCAGCTTTTATCTGGGCCAGTGAACCCCTCTAGGGAAGAGTTCCAGCTGCCACCGGTGCTCAGGAGCACTGGGTGCTGAGCACTTCAAAGTAACATTCAGCCCTGGAGCTGCTGAAGGCTCTAGTTTAGGGTGTCCAACCTTGGCAACTTTTAGGATTTGTGGACTTCATTTCCCAGAATTCCTCAGGTAATATGGTAGACTTGAATGATCTTCCTCCTTCCTATATTTAAATAGAGTTTGCAGTATCACTAGTACCTGAGTACTGTAGTACCTGGACTAGAAGGCCTCCAAGATCCCTTCCAACAATTCTGCTTTTCTATTCTGTTATGTCCTTTGGTATCCGCAAAGATTATGGCGGTAGTGGTGGCGCAGAGGTTAGAATGCAGTACTGCAGGCTTAAGATTCTCCCCTGCTCAAGGTTGACTCAGCCTTCCATCCTTCTGAGGTGGGTAAAATGAGGAGCCAGATTGTTGGGGGCAATATGCCGACTTTCTAAACCACTTACAGGGGACTGTCAACCACTGTGAAGTGGTATATGTCTAAATTATATTGCTATTTCCTTTCCCCTCCTCCTCACCATTATCCATTTTCTCATGAAGTCTCAGGATAATTCATTCCAGTCCATTTCATAACCCCTCTCTCCATTTCATGACCCAGCTTGATTTCCTTTGTTTGGGTTTCTCAAGCATGCTAGTAAGAGAATTCTGGGAATTGAAGTTCACCCATCTTTAAAGTTGCTAGAGTAAAAAAATACCACGTATCAGCCTCACACATAACCCAGCTTCCCATTCTCTCTCTTTCTGCCTCCTCCCAATTTAAAATCTCTCTCTTGAAGTGAGCTGCATATTAATTTGTTTGTTTGTTTATATTTCATGTTTCTATACCGCCCATCTCCCTCAAAGCTATTTAATCAAATGTGTGAGTTGGAAAAGTTGCTCTCAAAGTTTGCATAATGGCTTATGGTATAGAATTAGATATGGGCCACATGATTGATTGAACAAACTTAATGTGTATCCATCAAGACTTTCAGATGTGTGGACTTCAACTCCCAGAATTCCACGGCCATCATAGCCATTGCGGAGTAATTTTGGGACTTGAAGTCCACACGGCTTAAAAGTTCCCAAGATTGAGAAACGCTGATTTAAATTAAGAAGTCTCTAGGGATGGTTGCCAGACCTATTTCTCTCTGGGAATATTTGTGAGAGATTAGCACCTGTCTGTCAAAGGGAGAGGTAAGATAAATCTAGAAAGTCTCCTCCAGAGCATCTTGCAACATATAAGCAAGGAAGATAAGGGTCCCTGAACTCTCTCCTGCCTCTGGAGAAACCATCTCTTGAAAGGAAATGTCCAGCAAGTCTTATCTCCCTGACCTCTTTCAAACTCTTTCTTCAGATTGTGTCAACAATCTCTTGTGAAGGGGAAAGATTGGTGTGTGTTCTGTCTTATCTGCTTAGGCCACCTGCTCACTTGGAAGCTGATTTTTGCTTCTTTGCTATCCCCGAGGCCATTCCTCTTCAGACACCTGCAGGAGAATCCCCACTTCAAATCTTCCCCCAAGTCCCATCTTTCCTAGGAAGCTCTTGGCTGTGCTCCTTGGAAAAAGAGCCACCAGATAGAGTCCTTTCTAATGTGATTCTTTTTTGGGGGTTTAGGGTTTAGGGTTTATTAAACTTGTATGCCTCCCTATTCCCAAAGGGACTCAGGGCGGCTAACAAACCAAGGGGAAGGGAACAATACAAGAACAAACAAAATGAGAAACAAATTAAAAAGCACAA